AGAACCCCAGAATTTCCTGCACAAAAGCCCATGCCAACTTCCAGAGTCTGTATGGGCTGCTTCCCCAAGTCCCTCTTCTCAAAGGTGGACTGTGCTGCTTATGGTTAGGCACACAGGGTGGCCATGAGCAGCAGTACTATTTAGAGGTACTAATTGTGCAGACATATGGGTTGGAGGGTATACACCCATGCACACAAGGCCCCTCATTGGTCAGGATGGTCCCAGAGTGGAAAGAGAAGAGTGCTGCCTGGGAGCTTGGCTCAGAGTCCAAGAATTCTAACCAAGAACTCTAAATTCAAGCCTGGCTTTGCACCCTGAACTTCCTCTGAGTAACTTAAAATGTGATGCTGCTGGCAGGCAGTTGTAAATGAATATTGCAAACTCTAGGGCAACCATTAAAAAAATTAAAAAGAGAAGTTTATTAATATGCTGAGATAGGAGCTGAATGGAATGATAGAAAATGCTCCGTTAAAACCAGAGAAGGCAGAAAAAGGGGGAGAAAACAAAGAAACAAAGAACAAGTGCAATGAATAAAAACAGTTACAAACGTGGAAGATATTAACCCAGTTATATCAGTAATCATTTTAGATGTAAATGGTCTAAATAAACCAATTAAAAGGCAGAGTTGTCAGAGTGGATTAAAAAAAACAAGACCCACCAATATATTATCTCCAAGAAACTCACTTTAACTATAAAGACTCATATAGGTTAAAAGTAAAGGAAAAAGGTATGCCCTCCTGACACTAATCAATAGAAATCTGGAGCAGCTATGTCAGCTTCAGAGAAAGCCAACTTCAGAACAAGGAAAATGACCAGGGATTAAGAGGGGTACTGCATAATGATGAAGGGGTCAGTGTTCCAAGAAGGCAACAATTCTTAACATGTATGTACATAAGAACAGAGTGTCAAAATATATGAGGCAAAAGCAGGTAGAACTGCAAGGAGAAATAGACAAATCCACTGTTAAAGTTGGAGACTTCAACATCCCTCTTTTAACAATTGATAGATCAGTAAGGACATAATTGAACTTGAATAGCACTATCAAGCAACCTGATCTAATTGGCATTTATACAATACTCCATCCGACAACAGCAGAATACACAGTCTTCTCAAACTTGCGTGGAACATTTACGAAGATAGACTACATTCTGGGCCATCAAACACACCTTAACAAAGGTAAAAGAATAGAAATCATACAAAATATGTTCTCAAACTATAATGGAATTAAACTAGAAATCAATAACAGAAAGATAGCTGGAAAATCCCAAAACATTTTGAGAATAAACAACACACCTATATAGTACATGGATCAAAGAAGAAATCTCAAGAGAAATTTAAAGATATTTTAAATGAAAACACAACTTACCAAAATTTATGGGATGCAGTGAAAGTAGGGCTTAGATGAAAATTTGCTCATTAGAAGTGAGTCACTAAGTTTGACCCACACCCAAGGAGGGGATTAGGTTTGCCTTTTGAAGGAAGAAACCATTGAAGATTTTGAGGCCCTCTTTTGAAATCACATGGTAACCAATACCATAGCCTCCCTTTCTTTGATTGTGCCCTGGTGGCAGTCTCAACTTGCAATTCAATTGAACCATTATTATGTTGCCTTGAACTGACTCAGGTCTGGAAGATAGGTTAAAAGAAAAAAGAAAACCAAATCTAACTCTCAAGGCAGGTGGCTCAGTCCTAGCATTTGTTGTGGGGTGGGAGTGATGATGGCCCTGATATCAGTTCTCCTACGTTAAACCTAGTATATATGGGGTTAAAACCAAAAGCACTCGTCCCCTTTCCCTGCTTTTCTAAATTACATTCATAGGTAAATATTGGTTTTTTTAAACCTTTGTATCCCTGAACTTCCCTGAACTTCACAAGGCAAATAGACATTACAAATTGTTAAAAGCCCAGGTGGCCTCACACTGGGCTGACACTGAAGTTTTGGCTAGTTATGGGTCTTTTGAAGTTTTATTACAGGAAAGCTGATATCCAGAGAATATCAAGAAGCTAAAGCTTCCCAGACCCCAACTCCTCAGCCTCCTGGCACCAGAATCTACCCTCCACCACGGAGACAGACAACCAAGGACAGCCACCTGTGGGTTCCCTTATCTCGCCCTCCTCCTCCCTCCAAGCAGCTTCACAAGGCCAAATGCAGGCTGGTGGGAGAATGCCGACCAGCAAGGCCACAGGCTCCCGCTCCCTACGAGCATCCACATTCCTCCCATCTTTCAGGGAGACGGGATAAATTTGACAGCTCTTGTCTCCCAGCTAACGTCACCAGAAATAAAAACTCTTTCCTTGCCATAAGTCTGGCATTCCAGTTTTATTTGTCCCCTCTTGTGTGGTGGGTAAAGAACCTGTGTCCAGTAACAGGAGGAGTCATACAAAATCAGATACGTACTTGTGGTTTGATGAAAAGCCACACTTTAGAGCTCCCCGATTAATTCATCACAATCAGGGTAACGAATTCATGAGGGTCAGACTATTTTTATTGCAATCTGATTGCCATGGCCATGTCATGCCTGCTGGGATAACCAAGCCGAGTTTATCTCTGGGGGTGGACAGCTTCTACACGGGCACAGGCAAATCTCGATCTCATCCCATCCCCCGGTGAGATGTGGGGTCCATTTCAGTGGCAGCTGGAGCCCAGCATTCCAGGTCTAGAAAGGGCTTTTTGTAAAGAGCAGTCACTTACCCTAGGAAGTGGATACCAAATGTGTTCACTACACCTTCATGCCTCCTTCCTTTAATGTGTCTTCCTGCTCTGCAGAGGCCAGAAAGCTAAAACCCATGCTTCCCAGACTGGAAGCGAATTGGTTTCTGCCAATTAGATACACTGTTGAATGATTTGAAAGACAGAAGCTATTGTCCACTGAGGAAACATCACTGCAATTTAAACAATAGGTATTTATTTGGGCAATTAGAATTGAAATTCAGAAGACACAGATTTAGACAGAAACCCAAAATGTGCTCTGGAGAAGACAAAGAAGGTATGGGATTATAAAAACAAAAAGAGATAAATCACACGGGTTGTTTTGCAAGAGGCATGATTGGTGCTAGCAATAACTGTTATTCCTTGGCTATGCGTGGTTGATTGCTAAGGCCATCTCTAAGGCAAAAAGTTCTTATCTATGGGACTAAGCATTTTTCTAGAGGAGTAAGCACTTTCTTTTTCTTAAAGGAAGGTCAAGATAACAGTGAGGCACAGTTCAAAAAGTCACATTCCATCTGGGCAGAGAAGTGTACATGCATAAGCCTCGCTTCCTTAATGGCCTCCCAGCTCCATTTTAGAAGCCCTGACATATGTTACTCCATTTTGTTATCGCTGTCCACATTTCCCCTTTTAATCAAGATCTTTCAGCAAGGGCCGGCCCTGTGGCTTGGTGGTTAAGTGCGCGCGCTGCGATGCTGGCGGCCCGGGTTCGGATCCCGGGTGCGCATCGAGGCACCACTTCTCCATTCATCCTGAGGCCGAGTCCCACATACAGCAACTAGAAGGATGTGCAGCTACGACACACAACTATCCACTGGGGCTTTGAGGGGAAAAAATAAAATAAATAAAATCTTTAAAAAAAAAAAAAAAAAAATCTTTCAGCAAAAAGCATCGTAGATCAACTGTTTGATGTATATATAGGTATTGATATTTTCTTCATTGCCAGGAAGGCTCATTCCTGGGAAGTCATGTCCCGCTTAAGGGGGAAAGTGAGATGTTTGACCATCAGCAAGAGTAACGCAGTCAGAGGCTTTGGCCACATCTGAGCAATGAGGAGGTGGTCAGGAAACGAGTCTTAGACATAATCTTTGTCTGGAAAAAGAATCAAGTCCTTTGTTTGCTCAGAATTGCAAAGTTGGTTGGTCATCTCAAGTTGTTGATCAATCATCACTCTACCAGTAGAGACCGACATACAGCATCATGAAATGCACATCATTAGCAATTTAAAGATGGAAAAGATTAAACAAATCAGAACCATAGTCATTTGTAAGGCTTGGAACCCTGGTCTCAAAATAGCTCCAAGCCCAGAGGGTAACCAACCAAACAGGTCAAAGTGGTCCAGGAGGCCAGCAGTATGACCTATGTTGTTGAGGAGATTGATAGTATCTTTTATGATCTTTAGCTCTTGTTTTATGTGACCAGACTTATTTACATAAAAGCAACATTCTTCTCTTAGAAGTGCACAAATGCCCCCTTGTTGAGCAGTTAGGATGTCAAGAGTCTTTGATTTTGAAGAACAACTTCTGCCAGATTGTCTATTTGACTCTGTTGATATTCGATAGCTTGTTGGGTGGCACTGAAGGTTGAAGCCATCACGAGGGAGAGGTCAATTACCCCATAAGTGGGAAATAATGCTCTAGCAAAGGCATATCCCATTCCTGTTTTGTCTACAATTGGGTTGTATGTAGGAAGTCCCTGAAAGTCATAGTTTCTTTTGGCTCTCTTGAGAATGAACCAAGATTTGGGATACGAACAGTGAAAGGAAGATTTTTCTAGTGGCAGTGTCTAGGGTGAGTGCTACTATTCCGCATCGTTCCTTCCAGAAAATGGGGAGAGTGGAAAAAATATTTGAGCCACGTAGGTAAAAGTATCTAGTGTTTTTGAGAGATATGGCATAAGTGGGTCTGTGCACCCAGACTCTTCTGTTAGGTTTAAAAGAGGGAATCTCATGGTCAGAAATGTAACTGTTCTCACAGAGGACATGGTAGTCAGAACTAACGGTCTTGTGAGAATGGCTATAGGAACACTGACGGTTTCTCTAAATTTGAAGCAAAAGATGAGATTGATTTAGGGTGGTGGAACTTTGTTGAGGATCAATTGGGTCATTAAGGCTATTATAGCTTTTACTTAACTTCCACCATTCTGCTGATTTTTATTTTATTTTTTTGGTGAGGAAGATTTGCCCCGAGCTAACATCTGTTGCCAATCCTCCTCTTTCTGCTGAGGAAGATTGGCCCTGAGCTAATATCTGTGCCCATCTTCCTCTACATTATCTGTGGAACACCTGCCACAGCATGGCTTGATAAGCGGTGCGTAGGTCCACGCCAGGGAACCTGTGAACCCCGGGCCACCAAAGCGGAGCGCGCAAACTTAACCATTATGCCACCGGGCCGGCCCCTCTGCTGATTTTTATCTATACCCTAATGGGTGCCCTTTAAAGAGAGTATGTCAACTCCCCACTTGCCACTCCCATTATTTTGGGAGTCTCCTGACCATAGAGACACATCAAGGGATGTAATATCATAATGATTTTCTGAACCCCAGCGAGGTGTGAATGGAATGGTCAATGGAATCATAGAGAAAGGCGAAATTACAAATATTGACTGGTAAATAACTCAGAGTTTTCCCAGCGCCATTTATATTTTCAATACACAAGGAAAGATTATGGGAGAGTACCCAAATTCAGGTGAGAGAGACACCATGGTGCGCTTGGGGTGCCCAATGAAATGAGGTAATATCTGGGGCTTATTTCCCAGAGGGCAGCCAATAGGTGATTTCAAAAATGCCATGGGAAAATCCTGTGTCTTTTCTGGTTAGACTGTTCCAACCATCTAAGGACAGAGGCCATGCTACCAGTTCAGGAATATCGTGAGCGTGATTTGCCAGCAAGTGGTAAGGTTGGCACTCTTATTGAGTTTCTTTAGAGTTGGGATGAAAGGGTGAGATAAGATGGTACAGAGTGGACTGTAGCTTATTGTAATCAGCACCATTAAGGCAGCTCTCATCCAGATCCCAGACATTTTGTTGCTAGTTAATTGGTGATTTAATTAAAAGATTTTAGATGATTACTATGAAAGGATTATTACAACTAAAACTTTTATGATTAAGTTTTAGCCCATTTTATATGAAATTTAGAGGAGGTAAAAAAAAAAGGAGTGAAGTATTGGGATTGTGCAGCAGAATTTCAGAGAAAGCCATCGGAGAGCACCTGGAAACTACTTTGAACAGGTGCTTGGTACCATGTGGACCCGTTGAGCCCCTCCAGCTTCCCGGCACTCTTCAGGTGCCCCCAGTGAGTTTCTCCTGAAACCTGGACCTCTTTGTTTAAGTCATAGGTCCTGACTTTTACTTGAGCTGTTTCAAGTCTTAAGAGAGACTTAAGAGAAACCTAGGGGAAATTTTCTTGGCCAGGGGAGCCTAGGGGGAACTTTGGAGTGAATGGGGCAGGCTGACCTCTTTAATTTGGCTTTAAATTGGAAAGAATTTTGTCTATAAAGTCTGAACAGATGTTTAATAGCAAAACGAGAGACTGAAAACTCATTCAGCTCCAAAGAGAAGGGACACCAGCTTCTCCCAGCCATAAGGCATATCAAGTGACTGAGAACCTAGTGGGAGCATCTGAGGTTGAGCCTTGTGATGTGCAGCAGTCCCATAGGGAATTCCATTGTGATTGTTCACTTTAAGTAATTGATGGCTCGTCTGGGGATGCGCACATGAGGATTGGTCGTCCATGTGCTCCAAGCCCCCATGGTAGACTGCCTGCAGGAGAAACGGAGACTTGTAAGAGAGTGTTCATAACATTTTTTACGGAGTGACACTCAAAGCAGCACACTTCTGGCCCACTACACTGTCCTTAGAAATTGTTCAGACTTTATAGTAAAAGGAAACTAAAAGAAAAATGGGAAATCACACTTCTAAAAGCTGCCTGGTTCTCGAACAGGCAGCTTCCCCCTGGAACTCTGGCTGGCTTCATGTACAATATGTGTGGAGCAGATGCTTGCAAGTGCTTGACAAAATGGGGATAACTGTAAATGGTTGGATGTTTGGATCAAGGTAACCTGGGATAATTTAAAATTACAGTGTCCATTTTGGGGGTTCCTTTGAGCCTCCAAAACTTGTACATTGACCATCAAAAGGAACGTTCCAATTAGATAAGATCATTCAAGAAGTGCACTTATTAAGTCATGGCTTTACAGACACTTCTACCTGCAAAAGTGGACCCATAATCTACTTCAAAGGCGGACCCCTCCCAGGGGTAATGAGACTCTGAAAGGTTTTTTTGGAAACTGCTACCCTTAAAAAGTAAAAGGGAAATCAAAATTAAAAAAATAATGGAGGCCGGCCCCGTGGCTTAGTGGTTAAGTGCGTGCGCTCTGCTGCTGGCGGCCCGGGTTCGGATCCCGGGCACGCACCGAGGCACCGCTTCTCTGGCCATGCTGAGGCCGTGTCCCACATACAGCAACTAGAAGGATGTGCAACCATGACATACAACTATCTACTGGGGCTTTGGGGGAAAGATAAATAAATAAATAAATAAACTAATTAAAAAAAAACCCAAAAAACAAAAAACAAAAACAAAGTTCCTATTCTTAAAAAAAAAAAAAAAAAAAAAAATGGAGTTGTCTAAGGCTGCCAGAAATAGTTACTGTGCATCCTGGCTGAAACCTGACAAGATATTTGAAAGGATTTAATAACTTATGATCAGAAATTTGGCCAAATTGGAAGCTGATATTCAAAGCCTGATGGAATTTTGTTTTAGGCCTTCTCCCCTAAATCAAGATAAAAACTAAGTACCCAGAGGGAAAGAAGCAAATTAAGATAATGTAATTGGATGGGTGTGTCACTCCTCTGACAAGTAACTGACCTCCCTTGTTTATCTCAAAAACTTGTGACCTCTCCAGGAGCTATTATCTAGACCATCCCAGATTCCTAAGACTGAAAAAAAAGGTGGGGGGTGGGGGTGGGAGAAGCTTTTGGAGATGAATACTGCTATGAAAGTACCCTTGCCCAAAAATCTAAGGAAAATTTTAAAAACAGAGGCTATAAAATCTTTGTTGCATCTGTATGTGTGTTTATGTGTGTCTATATACGTTATGTATGTGATATTTTTCTACCTCCGGATGGTATAATTTCTAAAATAGCTCTATTTAATTTGCTTAAAGTAATCTCTTATATAAACGTAACAGAAACTAACCCAAATGTCTTTCAAGTTAATGTGATAAAAAAAAAAATAATCTTTGGTAAACAAAAGCTTATTTAAGTTTGGTTTGAAATAAGCATGTCTTCAGAGTTATCAGCATTGGATACGATGCAGACAAGCAACCTTCATTCTACCTGGGGTTGTTAATCAAATAAGCTGATGTTATCTCTGTTACAAAACTTGCTGGCAAAAATAATAACTTAGAATGATAGCTGATTTTGTCTAATGTCTCATGAAGTTTTTGTGGGTAATCTAAACATAATTTTTGGGAGGAAATGATTTAAGTAGCTATAAATGAGATAAGAGTTTACAGATAAACTTTTAGCAATAATTATATTTTATAGCATGTGTACGTAAAATAGCTTCTAAAATCTCTGGTAACTTAAAACTTGAGAGTTTTGCTAGGTTAAATTAAATGATAGAAAATTCATTGATTATCTAGATTATTTTCAAATAAGATAAAACAGAACTATTAATTGCTAAACAAGTCTAAGTTTATGTTTGTCTGCTTGTTACAGAGAAGGTAAAGATGTTTGGATCTATTAGTAAACATGCCTTATGCTTTATTGAAAGATTGTACTATGGAGTAGCATATGTTTCTGGAAATTATGAAAAGTATTTATAAATTTGCCAAGCCACAGAATGCTAATGTAAATGACAGTTAATAATTATTTACTTGTTTATTTTTCATTAGAAATTAAGGTTTCTAAGGGTTAAAAATTCTAATTAATATAAGTAATTAAAACTACTAAAATAATAAGGGAAATATCTTAATATGCAAGGAAAATAAAATGTGTTTTCAGTAAAATATATATATTTATATGCAACATATATATATATGAAATGGAAATGCATTTTCTTAAGGAAAAAAATAGGAAAAGCATACAACAAAATCTGCATGTAAAAAGGAAGTTATAGAACATTTGTGAAAAAGGAACCTTCAAAAAAGTTTTATGCATGGTCAAGCTGGCTAAGGTTGGAATAAATTTAATTAAGTAAGTAAGTGTTAATATCAAAAGTAAGCTGGTACAAAATTAGAATTTGGTTTTCTCTCTCTTAAAAGGATAGTTTCCCGGGGCTTCTCAAAGAATTTTCTCTCTCTTCCTATATATAGAGAGATACTAGACTAATTAGGTTTATTTGGTATGTTAAATTGCATGGAAAGCATTGTCAAGTAAATGATGATAAACCTTCTTAGCTTATATTACATAGGTAAATATTATCCATTATCTTAACCTTGCTACCTTGCTTCTAGGACCACAGGAGGAAAATGACCATGACTACATTTTATTATCTAATTTGGTTTACAGATGGGTCTTACTTAAAAGATAAGCAGGGACATTATGGGGCTGGATATCTTGTCCAGCCTCAAGAATGTCCACTGCTGTCTGTTAACCCTGCTAACCCAGTGAAAGATTTCCTTCTACAGGCTCAAGAAATCACCATGGAAGAAGAGAAACAAATATGGCAACAAAAAGGGGGAATTTTTGACACCATTATGCAGATGTGGTTTGAGCCCGATAACAAACCATAGTGCCTATGGGAGCACAATTGCCGTTGCTCCAGCATATACATTAGTTACCCACGGACACATGAAAAGATGATTTTATGAGGAAAAAAATATTTTTGGAAATTTTTCCCACAGTGGCTCATAAACATATGCTCATTGTGCTATATGTCCTGCATATAATCCCGGGAAAACAAAAAACAACAACAACAAAAGAAGTGAAGTACTGAGGTAGGTAAGGACAATAGAGCAATAATTAAACAATATTAAAAAGGTAATCTAAAACACAAGGAAGGTGACTGTGTCACGTAAGAGTGAATTGCTAGTATACTTAGGAGTATTATTATCATAGCAATAATAAGGTAGGTATATAGTTTGTGCATTATAAGGGTTTCAGTGAAGAAGATATAAGATTAGAAATACAGGCCTGAATAGATGTTAGCTCAGAGCCGGTCTTCCTCAGCAAAAAGAGGAGGATTAGCACAGATGTTAGCTCAGGGCTGATCTTCCTCACAAAAAGAAAAAGAAATACAGGCCTGGTCCTGTGTCTTGGGATTTGCAGTTTACATCAAACGTCATCTGCTTCTATAATTTTATTTATTTATTTATTTATTTCCCCAAAGCCCCAGTAGATAGTTGTATGTCATAGCTGCACATCCTTCTAGTTGCTGTATGTGGGACGTGGCCTCAGCATGGCCAGAGAAGCGGTGCATTGGTGTGCGCCCAGGATCTGAACCTGGGCCACCAGCAGCAGAGTGCATGCACCTAACCGCTAAGCCACGGGGCCGGCCCAAAAGTCATCTGCTTCTTATCCAGTTGATTGTAGTTTCTGGGCAAGTTTTGATAACTTTAAGATCGTCAACAAGTTAGAAGTTCAGTCAGGGGTGGTAGATGTAGGAGGCTTTTTTAAATGAGAACATGAATCCATGAGTTAATACCTTTTCAGTGCAAAGATAGTCAGCAATATCTGATATGGTCCCTTCCAGAAAGGCTGGATGGAGTCCTCATGAAGGTGTCTTTTCCAATAAACCGTATCTCCAGGTTGTAGCCTGTGGTGTTCAATGTCTTCGTCTCTCCGGAGCTCACTGTGAAAAGATTGTTCTACCAGTCTCTCATTTTTTTGGAGGGCTTGGATTAAGCTACTACAACAGGTCATTATGTCACCTTTGAATAGATCAGATTCATAGGGCCTTTGGTCCAGCCTCATTGGCCTCCCAGTAATAATTTCAAAAGGTGAAAGTTTATATTTCCCAAAAGGAGTGGATCTGAGGTTTAACAGTACTAATGGGAGAGCTTTTGCCCATGGAAGACGGAAAGGTTCCATAAGTTCTGCCAGTTGGCTTTTTTTCTTTCTTTGTTTTTTTTTGCTGAGGAACATTCGCCCTGAGCTAACATCTGTGCCAATCTTCCTCTATTTTGTACGTGGGTCGCCGCCACAGCACCACCACCAACTAATGGTGTAGGTCCATGCCCAGGAACTGAACCTGGGCCACCAAAGTGGAGCTCACTGAATTTAACCACTAGGCTACAGGGCTAGCCCGAGCCAGTTGGCTTTTTATAATACTGTTGGTTTGTTCCAGAAGGCCAGAAGATTGAAGATGACAGACGGAGTGAAAATGTTGCATTATTGGCCAAACGTGACAAATAGATTGTAATATTTGTCTGGTAAAACAGGTCCCTTGGTCACTGTAAAGTTCCGAGAGTATTTCCCAATTTGGAATAATTTTTTCTAACAATATCTTTCCTGCTGCTGAGGCCATAGCTCTAAGACATAGGAAAGCGTCAACCCAGTGGGAAAATATACAAACCATTACTAAAACATATTTGTACCCTTGAGATGGTGGCAATAATTTTAGATGGTTATTATGAAAGGGTTATTAGAACTAAACCTTTGTGGCTAAGTTTTAGCCTATTTTATATGAAATTTAGAGGAGGTGAAAATAAGAAGTAAACTATTGAGGTGGGTAATAGGAGGTAATAGGGCAATAGGAGGGATGGCTGTGGGGAGAGGGTGTGGATTAGGCAGCACAGGGTGTGGGGGAACAGCAATATTATTTTTTGCCCTGAGATCCTGAACAGACTTCCATCCCCTCCCATGGGGTTTTCAAACGGGGAGGATAGGAGTATTACATGGGCTAGGACAAAGGATAATCAATCCTTTTTTTAAATTGTCTTCGATTATGGGTTTTATACCTTAGATTGCCTCAGGGTTCAAGGGGTATTGCTTTATGTTAGTTAGGGGTTTCCTTCCATCTATTTGGATTTTAATGGGCAGTGCAGAATATATGCTCCCAATATTGGTGGAAGTCTGACCAAAGGGATTCAGGGACAGTGTCCAGGAAAGGTTCTGAATTATGGGTCTGTAGGGAAAGGATGGGGATAGATATTGAAATGTCGGGATCTTCTTGAGGATCTACATTTGGGAGTTCAAGATTTAAAAATATTTCCTCCTTTTGAGAGAAAGAAATATGTGCCTGATGTGACTCAAGAAAATCTAATCCTAGTAGGTGGATGAGAGCTGAAGAAACTAAAAGGAAAGGATGACACCCCTGAATGGGCCCTAGTGGGAACAGAATAAGAAGGGACTTAGAAGATTGTCATAGAGTGATTAGGAACCCCAATCATTTGTCTAGTTTGAATACTCAGAGAGAGGTGACAAGAGAGGTTGGTGGGGTTTCAAATGGAACAGGTGGCCCCTGTGTCTATAAGGCTTTTGGTAACCTCTCCTCCAATGGTGACATCAATTTCCCCCAAGGTATTCACTTGGAGGAGGAAAAAAAGTCCCCTGTAAGCCCTTGGAGCACTGCTATTGTGAAGATGGATGTAAGGAGTTTTTAGATGGTTGTGATGAATCCAAAGGGGGATGGTTATCTCTTCCTTGAGTCAACCCTTTAAATTTAAAACAGTCCCTTTTAAAACGTCCCACCTTTTTTAGGGGCTGGCCTGGTGACATAGTGGTTAAGTTTGCGTGCTCTGGTTTGGCAGCCTGGTGTTCACCAGTTTGGATCCTGGGCATGGACCTACACGCCTCGTCAAGCCAAGCTGTGGTGGTGTCCCACATACAAAATAGAGGAAGATTGGCACAGATGTTAGCTCAGGGCCAATCTCTCTCACCA